TAATTAGAAATGTCAAAAGATTAAAAAGTGAAATTTCTTACAAAAATTCTCAAGAACAAGTGCAAACAAGAATGGAAAATTATTATAATGTCAACGTTTTAAGTGAATGAATTGTTTTTTTTAAAAATTTTTACCAAATGTATTTTGATTATCATCATTATATTTGCATTCTTATTAAAATTAATTTTTTACGTAACATGTATCACATGATTTGATCAAAAGTTCGATTTTTTACTATTACTATTACGGATATCTCGGTATTACGGATGACTTGGTATAGCGGATAAATTTCCTGGAACAAACGTATCCGTTATACCGAGACTCACTCACTGTGTATTGTAAAAAAAATTTTTTAATTGCAAGTCATGTGCCCACTAATTTATCATTGGTCGAAATTATGTATAGAAACAATTAAATTGCAACAATTATGATCTAAAAAAAAAAAATAATTAATTTTTTTTTTAAGAAATGACAACATTAGAAGAAATTAAAGAGAGAGAGACAATGGCAATAGGAGAGTATGAAAAGGCAGTGACGAAGTTGGAGAATTGGGAAAAGGGAGAAGATGATGGGAAGTTGTTGAAGAAGTATAGGAAGAAGTTATTTGACAAACTTGACAAAGAATATGAGGACAAGGAGGAGATGAAAGTTTGGAAACAATTAATAGACAAGCTGGAGGATGAAAAGAAGCTGTTGGAGGATGTCAAGAGTGTTTGGGGAAAGCAAGTAGTTAATTTACAAAATGAAGTAACCAACTTTGGCAAAGAAAAAGGTAATGAACAAATTGTGTAAAAAAAAAAAATTTTATTTTCATTTATTCCATTTTGTTTATATACTGTATACAACTTAACTAACTTATGCTTTTTTTCTTCAATACTTTAACTTAAATTTTTTAAATTGTTTTCTTCTATTATCTATTAATTATTATTCATTTTGGAATTACCCTGCCCAAAAAACACATTTGTGTTATTCTAGAGCAACCAGTTGCTGGTAAGTGATTCGATCTCATCTTTGTTGTATCATACTTATGTTCTGAACTGTAAAATTTTTTTGTTGTCATCACATTTGTTAAATTGTGCCTCATTTATTTGTTCTTATTATACAGAATTTCCCAGTAAGCAAATAAAAGTTGATTATGAAAACCTGTTGGGCTTTTGGAATGCTTTAAGAACTACTACAATTGGTAAAAATGATGATTTCCTCAAACTACCTGATAACATCTACTTTTTGGGGAAAAGTGATGAAGCTTCAATCTTATTTATTCGTAAATGTTATTGTGACCTGTTCAAGGTTGTTTTAAGCAATAATACAAGAAGATTGATTATCACTGGAAATCCAGGGATTGGAAAAACGTTTTTTAGTTACTATATGCTTTATGAGCTCATGCAAAAAAATGCAACAGTTATATATGACAAAGTTCATAATTTTCCGATTTTATTCAACAATAAAACTGCTGTTGTTGGTGAAAATCTATTCAGTTTTTATGATCATCTAAATAAACGAGATGTCTGGTATATTGTAGATGGTAAACAACCTCAAGATGTTGAAGCTAAGACAATTCTTGTCTGTTCACCAAAGAAGAATTACTATGCAGAATTTGATAAGCATCCTTTAACAACAACACGGTATATGCCAACATGGGACAAAAGAGAGATTGATACATGCTGGGAAGAGATTTATAAAGACAAAGTCAATAAAAAAACAGTTGATGATTTATTTTATAAGTGGGGAGGAATTCCTCGATTCATCTTGGAAAAAGCTAATGAAGAAACTCAGCAAAATAAGCTCAAAGAAGCAATTGACACATGTGATGAGAGTATACTTATGGCTTCTATTGGCAGATCTGAAGCCAAACAAGATATAAGTCACAAGCTTATTCACATCATGACAAATCCCCTGATCAAGGAGAGCAATAATTACAGTCTTGAAGGAAATGATGGTTTTGAAGAAGATGATGAAGTTGAATATGTTGAAGAGGAACCTTATACACAAAAAATTATAAAATTTGCATCTGCATATGTGAGTGAAATAGTGATTAAGAATTTTGAAAGGACCATCATGAATAAAATTCATAGAGAGTTGAATGTAAGCTTGTCAAATGGCATTAGTAATCCAGTCTTAGGTAGTATTTTTGAGGAGATAGCTCACATGATACTGAAAAATGGGGGAAAGTTCAGGGTTCGTTCTTTAGATGACTCTAATATATGTGATCTACAGGTTAATAAGCAAGATAGGATGTATACATTTTCTACAATTGAAACAATCACTGATGGAAACTATTTTCGACCAGATAATAAAAATTTCCCATCAATTGATTCTATCATTGCACCCAACAAGCTCTTCCAGATGACTACTGCCATGAATCATCCTATTAAAATGATTGGTTTGGAAAAAATTTATGCCAAATTAGCAGAGAGAGGTTGGATTTATTTTTTTTTTGTCGTACCAGCACAGTTGTGTGACAGTTACAAAAAGCAGAGATTTGTTACTACCAACAATAATAATGCCAGGAGAATACCATCCTGGATTAAAAATCGCATCAGGCAATTTGTTCTGGGGATTAATTTGAGCTCTGGATTAGGGTAATGTTGGTGGTGAAGATGGATGTTTTGTATCAGGTGAGCATAGATAGAATCAAAGCAAGAAAAAGTCAAAGTAATGTTCATTAGATATAGAGTTATAGAAAAATGCCATTTGCATAACATTATATGATAATTTTTTCATTCCCATACTTTGTATTATTTGCTATTTTATATGAAAAAAATCAATTAATAAATTCATGCGAATTGTCATATTACTGTATCCATAATACTTGTATTATTGCAAGAAATCTTAATATATATTACATTTGATCAACCAATAAAAATTATCATAAATCACATGATATGTTTGTACAATGTACTAAAAAGTTTTTAAGCTCATACATATGTGAGTCTAAGTACTCAATAAAATGTAACATTAAAAAGTATACCACGCATTACAAATACCCTGTTTAATGCTCTATTAATACTATCATTCCTTTCTGTGGTTAATGTTATGTTTTTGTAGAATTCAGACAAACTTAGTTGTTCTTGCTTATTAGAAGAAATTTGATTACTTTCTTTCCTTGTTTAACAGTTTTTGTTTGTTTCTTGGCAATGACATCCAAATATTATTTACAAATTTCTCTATTGTATCCTTTGCCAGATATTTTTCAAATTTCCATGGATTAGTGACACTTTGCGGAATAGTGTTCATTGATATTTTTAACCTCACCTCCTTTCACAAAGTGTATCCAAACATTTAAAGAAGGTTGTCCAATAATTTATAAACTTCTAATTTGATTCTAAAAATAAATGAACATGATATTTTGTAATTATGCAAAACATATTCAAATATAATTAAATGATTAATCTCATTTTCTTAATTCAAATAAATGCCACACTATAATAAGATAATTCCTCTCATGTAACTTCTTTTACATTATTAATATATATGTACAATTGTCAATCAATAAAAATAAAGTAAATTTATTATAAATTTTCTTAAGTTATATACATATAATCTGTAAAATTATTTATTTATTTTTTTTTTTTTAAAAAAAAAGTGCAATGTGCAGTGTGTTTTCGATTTTCAGTTGAGGTTTTGACTTTTGATTTTTGAAAACTTCACTAAAAGTGTTTCGGTAGCTTGACATAATTTTGGTGGACAATATTTCAGTTGAACAAGTCTTTTCTGGAGGTTCAAACTTAATTACTCAAAGGTGTTGTAGTTTGGAACCTGGAACAATAAGAGTTTGAATGAGTTTAAAAAGTTTACAGAGACAATGAATTCTATACATGAATTGAAAAAAATAGAGCACCCCTAAGGTTTCTATTTGAATAAGGTTTATTCAAATTATTGTTTCATTCATTATGAATTTGAGTATTCGAATTGCACTGAAAGTTTAGTTGAATAAAACAAATAATTCAAATAATAACAAGAATTTGTATTACGAATAGAAACTCTAAACATGCAAATTTTTATGGTATATACATCTATTATGTAATGATCAGCCCCATAACTGACCAGCCATGTCAAAACATGGCATTATATGTGAAATGGATAAAATTCAATCATGATCTCCATTCTAATTCTGGTGAGAAATAGGCCTTTGCTACCATGGTATAAAAATTATAGACTATGTATGTATTTAGAAACATGATTCTTCCAGCAATTTCTGCTTTGCAATACATTCACCAAAATCAAACTACTATTTATTAGTTATTATGTATATTTTTGCGTAGTTAACGAATTTAGAATACCTGAAATTTTTGGGTCAAATATAAACCAAAAAACCGAACTGAATCATTCGGAACTTTAGTTTTTAAAAAGGTTACAAAATTTATTCATAAGCCTTTAGAAGTTATTTTTATATTTACACCACTTAATGTTCCTATTTGAATATCAAAAACTGAAATATCCATATTAGTTAACATAATACTTTTGGATATTCAGTAAATTATGGTATTGTTTTAATTAGTAAGGATGATGAAAAACAAACTTGAATTTTCTGTCAGAGTCCATTACTAATGTAACAAAAAACCAAAAATTTGGCAAACATGGAAGATACTGTGAAAGTTTATTTGGAATCATTTATCAATGAAAGAGATGAACGAATTTGTCAAGTAAAAGTATCTGGTCTAACATTTACTGTTATTAACTATTAAAAATTAAAAAAGAGATTTTGGACTGATAATTCTCCTACATGCAAGAAAAAAACTAGCATGTAAAGTTGTGTGAAACCTGATGAATTCTTTAAAATATATATTCGGAAGAATTCAATTTTTTTCACAAAGCACATGATGTCACGTTAAATCATATATGAATTGATCAACAAAGGATTCCAAATTTGGTAAAATACTTTATTGAACTCAATAACTCATTGGTGATCTGCTTCAAATGAACAAAAAGGTTGCCTGATATTTTCCCTTATATGTGTAATAATAATAAAAATGAATGAAGGTATATTTTCTTAAAAATATAAGTAATAATAGTAAGATTTTGCATCCTAACCTAATATTTTATTTTAGCTAAATTCTATAATGGTAAATATTATAATTAACTTAAATAATTATTAAAACATCTAATTAAATGTATTTATTTTTTTATTTCTTTATAATAACCAGGGGGTAAGTACTATATTATAAATCAATTTTTGCAACACAAAGTAAAAAAACATCATCTAATTAAATAATTTTATTTTTGTAATAACCAGAAGGTAAGTGTTATATTATAAATTAACTTTTACAACACAAAATAAAGCATCATCTAATTAAATATTTTTATTTTTTATTTCTTATAATAACCAGCTAGTAAGTGTTATATTATAAATCAACTTTTCAACAAAAATAAAACATCATCCAATTAAATTATTTTTATTTTTTATTTCTTTATAATAACCAGCTAGTAAGTGTTATATTATAAATCAACTTTTCAACAAAAATAAAACATCATCTAATTAAATTATTTTTATTTTTTATTTCTTTATAATAACCAGGGAGAGGTATTATATTATAAATTAACTTTTCAACACAACATCACCAAAAAAAAAAACCAATAGGATAAATAATTAGTGTGTACATATCGATCATTCATAAACTTCTTTTATTTTAAAAATTTATCAAAATGCCACATCAATTGAAAAGAAACAAACAAACTCAACAAGAAGATATCGCTGAGTAAGTGTTTTAAGGATGGTGGTGGTTATCACTTGCCACTTGTCATTACTCTAGTTGAAACTGATGAAGAAGTTATAAAATTTGATAATCTTGGTTCAACAAACCAATTAAATATAATAATGAAATTATTGAGACGTTCCTTGCCAGGAGTTAATCAATATTTCAATGAATTTAAAAACTTCTTCACAGATAATGAAGCTGAAGAAGATTCAAAAAAACGTATAGAAGTATTAGAGAGTGAGATGGTGAAAATGAAAAGTTGTATAATAAATTTTAAAAAAAAATTAGCTCTAGAAATGAATATAAATGAAGCCTTGGAAGAAGAAAACCAAGAGCTTAAAGAGCAAACATTAAAATGCAAGATATGTTTGGTAGAAAACATTATGCATTGTTTTGTGCATATAAAGTAAACAAATGTGTTATATGCCAAACAAACATAGATCCTTATATAAAAATTTACTTTTAAATTATATTTTAATATTATAATATAATTTTTTTATTAAAAACAAAACAATAAAAACAACGGAACTGTATACGCAGTTATATAAGCTATATATTTATTATTATTATTAAATTTCTCTACCAGTCAATTTTTCTCCTTTGGCCATCATTTCTTGAGATAATACCACCACCCCATCATTTTCTATTTTCTTCGAATTTGTCATTATAGCTGAGCTAACCAAATTATTAATGGCAGTCTTATCTTCATCACAGATATCCACAATAGCTAATGAAATGAAAGCAATTAATTGATAAAAGGCGAACTGCCACGGACAAGAATGACCCAAAATATGCATGCACAAATGTGTAAGATATTGCACCATTTCTTTTAGCTGCTGAAGATCTATTAAAAGCTTTAAAAGAAGATTTGATTAGTGAATTTCTTCAACTTTCACTAGTAAAAAAGATAAACCTTCTTTGGCAGTTAATCAAAAAAAAGAAAGATTTACTAAAACTTTTTTCAAGTTTCCACAATGCAGTTAAAGTATAATGAGTATTGAGAGAATAAATGGTCAAAACAAACCTCATCGTTGAGAATGGATAAAAAACAATAAACCCGATTTGATATCTTTATTGATGATGAGAAGTGCTGAGTAACTTCGGTTAGAACAATTTTCCTGAGAACAAGTTTTATGCCACAATTTTTTCACCTTTGTTCCTTTTCAAAATACTTCTAATGGTGGTAGACCTAATGTAAATTAGTTTCATACTAACTATTTTTATATAGGGGCAATTCTATATATCACTTAACAAATGAGATATTATAAAATTGTTAATTATAATTATATAATCACATTACAAATCCTTGGTAATGTTCACTTTGTCTGGTTTTGTTGCAGTATGCCCCATATTACAAATTTATCTTTTTTATAATTTTTAAATGAATATCTATTTTTATTATGTTGAAAATAATTTTATTTTATTTTGAAATAATAAGATATTACTAATGGGTTTAATAAAAGAAAAAAAAAAATATGGAACCTGTTCTGTTTGTGCAAGACATAATACTAATTATCAGTGGTGTCAATCATGTGATCCCAAATTGTTAGCTCAAAGTTGGACTAGCAGTGGTGATGAAAAATTAGATGAAATAATTAGAAATACACAGCTCAAAGCAAAAGGATTTGATAGTTATCATTATCTTGAATGGATTCCTTATGACCAACTCACAGTTAAAGAAGTAATAGGTGAAGGTGGTTTTGCAATTGTATATATGGGTAGCTGGTCAAATGGTCCTAGGTATATTAGTCACAATAAAAGATATTGTTGTGAAGGTGGTTATGTAGCATTAAAAAAGTTTAAAAACTCACAAAATATTTCTGAAGAGTTTTTAAAAGAGGTAAATAATTTGGTATAACTAATTGACAATTAATGATTTTTAAATAATAATATATTATATTTTTATTAATTTTCACAAAAGCTTCAAAATCACATTAAATTTATAGGACCTTGTTATAAGGATATTGTTAGTAGTTATGGTATTTCAAAAGATCCAGATACAAAAGGATATATTTTAGTAATGAGATATGCATTCAGTGGAAGTTTTAAAAATGAATAAATCAAATCATATGGAATGGGGTTATAAAATTGGAATACTTTATAATATTATTTCAGGTTTAAGCAACTTTCATCAAGAAAAACTTATGCATTGTGATCTTCACAGTGGTAATATTTTATATTTTGGATATCAAAGTGAGGCAAGGATTGCAGATTTAGGGTTATCAGGCCCAACTAATCAAGAACCATCAAGTAAAAATGGTATATTTGGAGTACCGCCATATGTTGCACCAGAAGTTTTAAATAAGAAACCTTACACACAAAAATCTGACATCTATAGCTTTGGGATTTTAAT